GAGTTTGCATTTATATTGAAACAATTACTGCTGTTAGAGAAGGACAAAACAAAGACACATAGGTTTAGGTATCATTATCTTTACTACTACCTCCCCAGTGTGACCTGCCACTGTTTCTTGCCTGGGGCTGTGGCTTGAATATACATGTCTCCTAAAAATTCATGGTGAAATCTACTCTCCAATGCCGTATCATTAAGAGGAGAACCTTCAGGAGGTGATGAGATCGTGAGGATGCCTCCCCCGTGAAAAGGCTCTTATGAGAGAGGCTGCGTCACAGTGTTCAGTCCTTTTGCTCCTCCATCTTCAACCATGTGAGGACATGGCAACAAGGCTGCGTCTTGGAAGCAGGGGACAGCCACAGCTCTCATTCGATACTGAAAAAGCCAGCAACTTCACCTTGAACTTCCCAGTCTTCAGAACTCAGAGAAATAAATGTCTGGTGTTTATAAATTCTCCAGCCTCAGGTTTGTTATAGCAGCACGAAGTCACCTGGAGTATTCCAGGAGTTGGATGGTCTGCTGCTCCTCCTCACCCTCAGTCTAGACCACATAGCTGATAAAACAGTTAGTAGATGTTTTAATAAACCCTCAGTGGTGGCCCATCTCGCCCAGACTAACACTGAAGTTCTTGCAGTGGTCTCCAGGGTCCTGTAGGGCCTTCTGGTCTCGGGGACCTTTTCTCCCTCCAGTCCCCCTTGGCTTCTGTGCTCCATCCATGCTGGCCTCTTTGCTGGTCCTTTGCCATGCCAGACCTTGCACTCACTGCATCTCCCCTGGGAAAGCTCCTTCCCTGGTGCCTGTGTGGCTTGCTCTTTCATTTCCTTCAGGTCTTTAACTTCTCATTGACTTTCTCTTTTTTAACCATTACAATGGTTAAAAGTATAAAACCCTTCTCTTCTTTCTCCGTTTTCCTTATTCTCTAGCCCTTGTTCATATGGAGGTGGCAAACCCTAAATCTGCAGAGCGGTTGTCCCAGTTTCAGTCTGGATCCCAGGAGAAGTCTCTAGAATCCAAAAGAGATGATGGTTCAGTAGGAAGGCTGTCAGGTGGGAGAATTCTCTCTTGTTCCGAGATGGTCAGCCTTTTTTCCTATTTTGGCTTTTAACTAATTGGATAATCACACTCATTCGTGAAGGAAATCTGCTTTATCCAGCCTACTAATTTAAATGTTATCCCCAAATACCCTCAAACACTAAAAATAACGTTTGATATCAGATATCTGGGCACCCCATAGTATAGTCAAGTTGGTGCCTAAAATTAACCATCATTTGTCAAACCATACCTGGAGACCCTTAATCTTGTCCCAGCATATTTTGGAGACTATACTGGTGAAGATCTGACAACCAGGGTGTCTGGGGAGGAGTTGAAGCTGGGAATGTTGCCCTGAAGAATCAACATGTGATAAAGAACTTCTGATATTGGAAGGCTTATCTCATAGAAGAAAGAGGAAGGAATTCCTTAGTTTCATGAGTGTGGCTCAGACTAGTGGATAGAAGGTGAATCTTAACGGCTAGAAAGAAAGAGCAGAAATCCACTTTGGAAGCTAGTGAGTTCTTTCAGAAAGGGTTCAAACTGAAGCTCACTGTGCATTCTGGTCCTCTCCTGGTGGTGTTGACCCTCTGGCCTGAGGTAGACCATTAGCCTCCTGGAGGTTCGTTCCTCTGTACTGTGGAAGTCCTGGTAGCCTACCTCACAGGTACTGAAGATCAAGGGGGAGAAACACCGGAACAACACCGTCTGCAACTCTGTGGGCATGGGGGAGGCCTTTCTGGACCCTGGAGAGCTGGCAGTCAGGAGACAGTGCTGACTAAACCATTGCAGAAGCAGGAAATTTCCACTGACCTATAGTCAGGGACACCTCACTGCTCTTGGCAGCTTTGGTTTCTTCTTATTGGAATGTGCCTGAGGAGTGGCGGTAATTTTGTTTCCAAATTCTTTAGCCCTGAGTCTGTGAACCTTATGGCTGCTGGCTTGGGAGGAGAAGTGCTCGGGCAGGGCTGACCATGCATCAGCAGTTGTCCCTCCATTCTGAAGTTGCATCTGATTTCTTCTCTTATTTACACTGTTGCTTTCTGGCTTCTGCCATGTGGTAGTGTGATATGTCACTTCTTTCACTCTGGAAAAAAAAAATGTTTTCCTTGTGAAACATATTTAAAACACAGGGTCATATTTAATGGCTGTAAAGTGCATGAGGACACAAGCAGCAGAACATTTAGGAATTCTTGCCCACAAAAGCCAGACTGTTGGCAGTGGGACAAAGGCCTCTGTACTTGGTTTCCCAACTGTCTTCCATCCCACCCCCCAGGCTTGATAACAGTGTTTTTTTTTGTTTGTTTGTTTGTTTGTTTTAATTTTGTAAATGCTTTTATCAAATGCTTTTTAGTGAATAGAAGATTTTACATGTGGGGCAAAGTCAGACAACAAGATAAAGATGGCCTGAGGTTCAGTGCTGATGAGCAGCTATGTGTCATGTGTCAGAGGAGTTACCCGTAGGTGGGCAGGTTTAGTGTTAGGTGGGAAGAAGGCTCACAGGCTTTTTTATGTGTGTATGACATCAAGCCAAGGTCAAAGCTAAATGTTCCCTGCTGGTTTTGCTCTGAACTGGCATCAGGACAGTTAGAAATTGACATGACCACACTTGATAGCACTTTAGGGTGCATAATGCATAGTTGGAGGGCAGTTAATGGTCACTATTGTGAAACAGTTTATTTCCAAGTCAGTACAAACTGTGAAGCCCTCAGTAAGTATGAAATAGCCTGATTTCGATCATAGAAGGGGCTGTCATTTGGGGATTCAAGATAGGGATCCAGAAGGTGTTTGGTGATAACAGCTGGTATGAGTTGCCCAAGTGTAGAGCAGGACTTCTTGGCTAAGAAGCCACACTGAGCCTGTGCTCTCCCGGTGCCTTCCACACCACTGGTGACTGTGTGACATGGGAATCACCCAGAATGCTTTAAAAAAATGTTGATGCCTGGTCCCCACCCAAAGATTCTCACCCACCTGGATATAGCCTGGGCATCAGAATATTTAGAAATTTACCAGGTGAAGGGACAGCGAGGGAATAGAGGAAGGGAAAGGGGGAAATGGGAGAAGGGAAGAACTGTGGGATGAAATCGATCAATCTATGTTACGTGCACATATGAATGTATCACAATGAATTCCACTTTTATGTATAATTATAATATACCTATTAAAAATAAATTTAAAAAAGGTTCTTCAGATGAATCCAGTTTGCAGGCAAGGTAGAGGTCACAGCATTAGTAACTACCTCATGGAATTGTTTGCCAGCATTAAAATACACACACACACACACACACACACACACACACACACACATATATATATATGATTGAGTAGAAAATATTAATGTCTAGCACACTAGTTGGGTCTGTACTATTTTGTTGTGTGTATGTTAGTGTTGTAATGCTGTTGTAAATGATAGAGCCATTGCACAATCATGCACTCAACTTTCTTTTTGGTCTATTTATAACCCCTTCAGAAACTGCTTAGTTTTTTTTTTTAAGATAAGCTTCATCTTTTTCTAAAAAAAATACCTTTATTTTATTTATTTATATGTGATGCTGAGTGTTGAACCCAGTGCCTCACACATGCTAGGCAAGCGCTCTATCACTGAGCCACAATCTCAGTCCCAATTTTTGTTAAAGAGAAGTTTCCTGGTAAATTTCATGTAAGACATTTATAATTCTATGACTTGAAAACCTTTCTGTCCACATTTTGAGTTTTCACCTTAACATTGATGAGATAAGTTACTTTTTAAATGCTAGTAAATGACATGCGTATTTTTACCAGCAACTATGTTTGATTATAGCACAGCAACAAGATGATTTTCCTCCTTGGAATGTGTTAATTATTTATTCACCATGATGTTCTAGATCAGTGATGATCTAAATACATCCAACAGTAATGTGGGACTTGCATAAATCATCCTGCAAGTTTTATTAGGATTCGATTAACAGCCTCTTGACTTCATTATCTGTTGGAATTTGGGGGTCTTACAAAATAAACTGTTGTACACATTCATTTCACTGTGATGAAATAGAGGAATGTAGTGGAAGATTGACCACCTTTGGCCATTCTTCTAATCTCAGAATTTAGGAGAATATAAACCAAAATGGCTCTCACTGTGGTGCCTGTTGTGGTGACTCTGTCCACAGATCTCACAACTGTTCCACAGAAAGTCATGTTCAGTTGCCAGCAAACCTTGGGATCACTTTCCCTGATACTGAAACCCATTATAAGCTCATAAGGCCACCAACACTTTCCACTTGACTTGAGACACATTACAATCAGTTGACTCTTGGTACCCATGGGGAATTGACTCCAAGATCACCTCTATCTCCAGGAGACCAAATTCCATAGATGCTTGGGTCCCTTATATAAAATGACATTAGTATTTGTATATAATCTATGCATATTCTCCTGTATATTTTAAATCATTTCTAGATTACTTATATTATCCAATAATGTATAAATAGTATGTAAATATTTATTATACTGGGTTGTTTAGGGAATAATGACAAGGAAAATTCTGTACATATTTAGTACATGTACAATTTTTCCCAGAATATTTTAAATATGTAGTTTGTTAAATCCATTGATATGAATCCCATGTAAATGGAGGGCCAACTGTACTTGGACAGTATATCCTCAATATGGATATAAGGAAAATAACCAGGATAATTCTTATGATTGCTCATATGGCACAATGTAGTCTCTCATCACAAAGTTCTTTCAATGTTCAAAGGGACATCTTGGGTGAGTACTTTTGCCATTATCTGGGAGAACTAGGCATGGGATTATTTCTTGAATCAACTGCTAGAGAAAAAAGAAAGAAAGAAAGAAAAGATCAGCCTGGATAACAAAGGGAAGAGAAAATCTGGTATTGACAAATACCCATCGGTGGTCTCATATGAGTGCTTTCTTTACTCATTCAGCTCTGGGTGACCTGCCATGTTAAACAAGCAGTTCTATTTCCTCTAGGTGTCTGAGGGCTCCGTGGTCCAGTTTTCACCAGGAAACTTCTCCTTGACAGCAGAAACAGAAGAAAGGAACTTCCCCCATGGAAACGAGGAGCTGTTAAATTGGGCCCGAAAGGAGTATGGAGCAGTGACTTCATTCACCGAACTCAAGATAGCGAGAAACATTTATATTAAAGTGGGGGAAGGTAAATTTTAAGTGGCTTCAGTTAATGACTGATTTATGATAGTCTGTTGTTTTCTTTTCTGAGGCCAGGTGGCTGAAGCCAGGAATCATAGGATTCTGAATATTGGAGCTGGCAGGGTCTGCTCTCTACCCCTCCCCTTCTTCCTTTCCTCTGTGGAAACTGGCCTGGTAATGACCAAGTGAGAAACCAAGAGTAGCATTTGAGAGAAGGGGAGATTGTTGTGTAGGATTTAGATAACGTGTCTCCACAGACACCAGAAAAGAAGTGAGTGGAAGGGGAGAAGTGGGGGGTGTGGGGGGAGGGGAAGATGGTGGTAATGGATGCAGGGAAGGAGCTGGCAGGATGGGTCAGTTGCTAGGACTTCCTCTTCCCTATTATTCTGCAACTGTTTGGAGCCAATATCAGCTTATGGTATTGAGATATCAGTTAAATTTTGGACAATAGCAGAGGAAAAGTGTTAAATACATTTTTAACACTAATGCCTGTTGCAAGGACAAGGCATTGAAGAAAGGAAGTATATGGCCTTGATAAGAAATTGCCCATTTAAATTTCCTCACATTGCAGAGGGATATAAATATCTGATGACTCAATTTTGAAAGCCTATTATTATTTTGAAAAAAAAAACACCTTTTCATCATTATTTTTAGTTGAGCACATTGGGAATGCCTTAAGTTACTAGGAAATAACTCTTGTGAATGAGTCCTTGTTAAAATCAGGGGATATGTGAACATTATGTTTCAGGTCTTCAGCATCCAGTGCTTTGTGTTGAATTCTATAGCATCTGTCATACCTCCATCAACAGCATGGCAGGAGAGGAAGGGTTATTGAATGCTTGTTCCTAACTCTTTTTTGGATCTAGGCTGGTTTAAAGTGTTTTGAGACAGGTGCAAGAAAGGCAGATACTGATGTTGGAGTGTGTGCTACATGCAGAGGCCACACTGGGGACTTTCCATATACCCTGCTTAACCCCAGAGTAATCCCAGGAGGGAGACATTATTCCCACCATTTTACAGAGACCTTAGTGGAAAGTTATGTGAACTTTCTCAAATCCACATCACTAGCAAGTGGCAAAGCCAAATCTCAACCTAGGTTTCCTGACTTAAGTCTAATGCTTGTTGCCTGCTTTAAATCTTAGCCACACAAGCATAATCTGAAAATCAAAGTGAGCTGGTGGATGCAGGCTTGTATAGTTGGGATGAGAGGAAGTGTTTTAGAGAAGAGTTGGGTTCAAAGGGTTTAAATTTCTCACTCGGCTCTCATGGTAGCCAGGTAAGTAATCATAGAGGTCAGACCCCATTGAGACAAAATGAAAAATCTCTTTTCATAAAATTTCTAAGCTGTGGCCAATGCTCTGCATTTCTGAAGCAGAAAGAATGTTGATTACCCCTTGGAATTTGTCAGACTAAGAAAAATTTGTAACATTTAGCTGTGAGGCCTCATCCCTCTGACAATACATGAGTTTCTAAGCATGGCAGTCACCTGCACTGTGGGCGAGGGGTTAAGTCACGTGAGTGATTAAGGTACACACTAGGTAGGGGAAATTAACTTAAAGACCTGGTGTCCAGTCCAGTAACTGATTTGAAGCCTCTGGAATTTGGCTTCAGTCATCAGCTGGGGTCTAAGTCACTAACCATGTAGAGGAACAGCTAAGGAGAGCAAGGTTTCTTAATTAAGTTGGTGGCTCATTGGAAATGTTGTCTAGTATCATCCTGGATTGGACTCTGCTGAGCCAACCTCCTTACCTAGCCTGTACCCTCCTCATTTCCAGGGACCCCAGGTCTTGAGCTTCCTCTTGCTCAAACCTGGCAGTTCTCAAAGTGTGATCCCATTGCCTGGAAACTTGTTAGAGATCCCATTTCTTAGGCCTCCCAGGGCCAACTGAATCAGGAACCCTAGAGTTGTACTAGGAGTTGGTGTTTTCATGAGCTCCAGGTGATTTTGGTGCTCCTCACATCTGAGGCCTGTTTTCACCTGTCTACACAGAGTAGAAGAATTGAGGAATGTCACTACTTTTTAAATATATTTTTTAAAAATATTGTTTAGTTGTCAATGGATCTTCATTTTATTTATTTGTATGTGGTGCTGAGAATTGAACCCAGTGCCTCACACATGCTAGGCAAGCGCACTACCACTGAGCCACAAACCCAGCCTTGAGCAGTAGCACTTCTATCCCAACTGGTCTTAATAACTAGGGCCTCAAGCAACACAAATTTACCATCAGAGCCTCAGTTTCCACAGCAGGAAAATAGAGCATTCACTTTACCTCCCAGGCTTATTCCTGTTCTCAGAATATGCCCTTCTGAGTCTCAAAGTCATCTGTTAAACTTTTCTTAAAATACAAATAAACCATGTGATGTTTCATCCCCCTGACCCCCATAAATTTGCTTGGTTCCCACTTGGGATTCCCCTTTGTGATTTTCTTTCTACTTGGCACTTGGTATGAATTTTGATGCCAGGTATGCAGAAAGTCATTTGGGGGGGAAAAACCCAGACATGTGATCAAAAGTGATCAGCTTATTCAAATTAGTGACAATGGCATCTGGACTGGAGCCCTTATTAACTGCAACTTTGGAACAATTAAACCTTTCCTAGTGGCTTCCCAACATGGGTGAAGTTTTTGTTATTCGTTTCAAATCTCACATCATTGTTTATGAACTCAGGAAACCTATGCCATGTGCCTATTACATGGCAGCTATAAGCCAGTTGCACCTGTGAACTGGAAATGCAGGCCACAATCCCAAGAGGGTCCTAGTCTCTTGAGTTCTCTGGCCCATACACCTACCTTCTGATTCTCGATTAAATTTCAGCCAGGCTGCTAATATCATTTTCCATCCTGTGATCTGGGGGAGATATCACAGGGCTGCAGCTGCAGGGTGTGCATACCTCATCTGCACATCTGGCAAAACCCTCAGCAGATGTGGAGGAAGGCGGCTCTAGCAGCCCAAGTTGTGAAGCCTTGGGCTTTTCTCTCTGCGGGTGTTTTTAGAAAACAATGCAGAGTGCAGAGTCAGTGCTCTTTTGCAATGAGCTTACAAGCAGTCCTTGTGAACTGCTCTGTCCCCTCTATTCTGGAGCTGGTGCTGGGGATGCCATAGTGGTTGGAGCTATGATGTCACAGTGTGCACTTCAGACTTCAGCACAAGGGAGGTTGCACAAGTTGGGGAGGGGAGTAATGTCAACCCAAACTCGGAACTTCCTGGGATGATTCCTTACTCTCAGGTGAGACTTTCATGTGGATGTGAACCCTGGCATCCCATCCTTAAAATGAAAAAGGCAGAAATCTGTTTGATTAAAGTGCCAGGTCTCTGATTAATTACCCCTTCTGAAAATCTTGCTACACCTAGAACTTCCTTGACACTGGTCCCAGCTGTCAGACTGCCAGCAGTTTCTTTCAAGTTCTGTTTAAACATTTAAACCACGAGATGAAAATCCCATCAAGCCCAGTGCTGTGAAAATGGTGTGTGCCATGGAGGGAGTGTCTTCAGACCCTTGACACTCCTCCTCGAGTGGAGCTGGTGAGCAGCACTCAACACAATGATGTTTGGAAAAGCATTTTGAAACTGTAAGATGCTGTATAAACATGAGTTGTCTGGGTCAAAATTATGAGAAATGTGAAAGTCTGTCCTCCCTGTTTCCCCAGAAATCCTAGTTTTAGCCTTCAGGGTAGAAAGGTCTGTGGGGAATAAACAGGAGGAAGTGATTAATGCTGCATGTGTGGACCAGAGAATTCATGAGATGACTGGTTCTTCTATTAATTGAAATTACAAATATCCAAGGAGGAGCATTTATATGGCCATAGGGTAGATAAAGGATTCAATATTGAGTATGCTGACTGTGAAATAGCTATTAGATTTTTAGGTGGGAAATGCTCTGTGGGCAAATGGCAGTACAAGTCTGCAGTTTGAAAAAAGGGTGACAGTCCAGGTACAAGTGAAAACCATTGGAGTGGCCAAGCTCATCTAGGAAAATAGGAGACAAAAGGGGGATTGAGGAAGGAGCTGAGGGTCTTAGCCTTGTGTACATCAGGATGGGCTACAGAGCTTTTCAAAATAGAAAGGTCCCAGGGTACCACCTTGATGCTCTGAATGAGATTCCCAGGGATGGGAGCTAAAGCTGGATTCTGACACACACCACAGTTTGAAGACCATTCCAGTGAAAGGAACTCAAATGCAGGCCAGAGGAAAGGTACTAGGAAAAGAAAGGAAAGGATTTAGACAAAAAGAGGCCACTAGGGTTGGTCAGTGGGAGGACACTGGTGACCTTAGTGGCAGGCATTTCAGAGCAGTGGTTGAGAAGGTCACAGGCTAAGATCCTTCTTTTTGTCTTGTGGTTCCTGGTGTCATGCACTGGCTCAGTCTCACCATCACCTTTTTCCCTTTGATTCTGGTTACAGGTGGCTCAGTGGTTTGACAGATCACCTTGTAATTCTTTACTTTCAGATCAAGTGTTCCCTCCCACATGCAACATAGGGAAGAATTTTCTCTCACTCAATTACCTTGCTGAGTACCTTCAGCCCAAAGCTGCAGAAGGTTGTGTGATGTCCAGCCAGCCCCAGGATAAAGAAGTGCACATCATTGAGTTAATCACCCCCAACTCTAACCCTTACAGGTGTGTGTGTGTGTGTGTGTGTGTGTGTGTGTGTGTGTGTGTGTGTGTGTTCTGAACTGTGGAGAGGTGAGAGTAAAGGTCTTTCCTTGCTTGAGGTAGAGAGCGGTGCAGGCCTCCCAATGCAGGAGGGAGGGATCCATCTGTGCTTCAGGTGTGGGTCCCAGCAGTTTTAAAGAGGGAGTAAGGACACAGTGGTGTCAATTTATATTCTACATCTGTCTTCAGGTGTCATATATTCCAGACAAGTTCCAGAAGCCTGTTCTAAATTTCTGAGCATTAATTATAAGACACAATCACCCTTCCTCTATCATGATCCCCATTGACTGAGGTTATCTCTGTTGAGAAAATTACAAAAATGTGTCTTATTAACATAATTATCATTTTTATAAAATTCTGTTTTTAATAAAGTTCTGTTCATAGTGTCTGCACTGAGAGCTGTTTCCTTGTCTGTTTTGGGAGGGGCTTTCATGATGATCTGCCCAGAATCTATTAGATATAGCTTGCCTCTCTCCTATGTTCTCGCCCACCTCCCCCCAACTCCTTCCTACCCCTGGACCAGAAATTTGGCCCTCCCTATTGAGAATAATTAGAGAAGTTTTTAAAAGAAAGAAAAAGGAAACAAAAATAATTCCTTCTCCTACTCTAGCCTGTATTTCTTTTGGGTTCATGACTCAAAAATTTAAAGATACTTGTAGTGGGATTTCAAAGTTAAAATTATAATCAAGTTTTGATTTCAAAAGTGAATAAATTACAGATCAATTTTGGTAATATCCCATTCTGTTCCACATGAAGAATTTGGTGGAAAATTAAAAAGGATACAGAAGCACTCTGGCAAATTTGCTTAGATATTAAGCCCAAGGCTACATTTGAGTATACCATGCCCTTTAAGCCCTTTATGTGTTACAAGTATATAAAACCAAGACAAGGACTCTCCACTTAAATTCAGAATGATAGAGATGTTATTGTTTAGTAATTTTTTTCTTTTATACTGAATTCTTAAAAGTTTGGGTTGCATTCATCAGTGTTCTAGCAATCCCTTGGTTGACCATCTGTTTTGTTTTGTTTTGTTTTTAATAACTATGTCCAGAAGTTTGGGGAAATAAATGCAGATCTGATTCTTACCAATTCTTAATGGCTTGAGCAAAACTTATATAAGGCAAGAAATTCTCCAGTCTTTTACCTCTTATTTTATTCTGAAGTTTCCTATTTCTTTTTTCTTTTTTTTCTTTACCACCATGACTTCCTCCTCCCTGCCACCAGCTGTCCCCGTCACTGAACTGCCACCCACTTCTGGTTTTGAAGGACTTTGAGCATATAGCCTAGTTGGAAAGTTACACAATGAAGGTGTTCAAGGTTGAAGAAGCAACAGTTCTTCTTCAAAAGTAAACTTCTCTGGTTCGTTCAAGTCCATTTCAAACAGTGGCTGCATTAAGTAACCGCCTCTTTTTGCTCCGCAAAGAAGAGAAAATTTGAGTGACTAATTTTCAGCAGGCTTTGTGTTTCTATTGTTATGTAAAACCATTTTGTTATGTGTGCAATAACAATCTGTTTTGCACATGTCATTTGCCTGGGATCAACTCCAGCTTTTTAATCAACTGGCCAGACACTAGAAACATGAAGACTTGGAAGAGAGGAGATAGTTGCAACTTTCTGGCATTTCGGTCCTAACTTTGCCTTTGTTTTCCATTCACAGTGCTTTCCAGGTGGATATAATAATTGACATAAGACCTTCTCGAGAGGATCCTGAGGTGGTCAAAAATCTCATCTTGATCTTGAAGTGCAAAAAGTCTGTCAACTGGGTGATCAAATCTTTTGATGTTAAGGGAAACCTGAAAGTGATTGTAAGTTGGTTGCACATTTGTCTTGATGAATGGCAGTAATTTAAAATGTGCCTATGCATGTTATTTTTGTAAAGGTTCTGACTCGTTGGACTCTCTAAGTTCTCTCAGTTATTTTTTACTTTACAAAATAGGCTGCTTCTTGGCTTCTTCTGATAAGGGTGATCAGTGGTGGTGATTAAAATGGGCCTCTCAGGGCAAGACAGATCTGGGTTTGAGTCCTGGGTGTTCCATTTATAAACTGACCTTGGACAAGTCCCTTAGCTTTTCTGAACTTCACTTGCCTCATTTGTGAAATTCCTGAAAGGTACTAGAACGCTTCTCACTCATAGTGTGTCAGTATTATGATCCCGAGTATCAGCTTTTACTTTGGGATTAAGTACTTAGGTAAGATATGGGAAATTAGGCTGACCCCAAGTCACATTATAGATGTTTTGGGGTTAATTGTGTGGTTTTGGCACAACATTTTGCTTGCTTCTAGCTCTTAGGGACCTGCAAGTATGCCTATTTCTTATGCATTTTATTTTATGAAGGTCATACATAAACCTAAGAGGCTTAGCTGGTTGGCATAAGGTGAAATAGCAGCTAGTTTCCTAAAAAGTTGAATGTTGAAGTCTGGTGAAATAAATCTCATCTCAGATATCATTAGGGGAATAACTATTTGGCAGAATATGGGACTGATTCATACTGAAAATTAAAGAAAAATCCTTCTCCCTATTTTTGACTTTTTTAGCACCTCTTTTGTAGGCTCCAATTTTTATGCATTGTCTTTTTAAAAAAGTAGACCCATTTCTCTTTCTGTACCTGTATTGTATCCTTTGGAGTAGGTTTTGTTTTCCATATTTTGGGAGAGAGCTGTCTTTGGTTTTGGTGTTAGTCACTTGTGGCACCTTCTGTGTCTTCAGCTGTGGGCAAAGCCAGCGGTTCCCTAGGCAACGCCATGTAACCGCACTCACTGGAGGCAGCGTGCAAAGCCAAGAGCACACACATCTTAATTTTTAAGTAATTGTTCTTGGTTCCTGTGGGTTTTAAAACTTTTTTCTTAAAGCTTCAGAGTAATGACCCATCGTGTGTAACAGTGATAAATTAATTTGGCGTCCAGTGCAAAGCCCAGCTGTGATTTTCTGAAGTTGCAGATATTTTGATTGCTCTTCTCTGGCATGGCATGAGGGGTGTTGGTGACCTGGGGTGTCTGTTACTTTTGCTGCCTGGCACATGAGCCAAATGTTTTTAATTTCAGAATAACAAAAACAGGAAAGGGAATCATGCTTTGAAAGGCAAAAAACATACGGTACATTTTAATTCCCTGCTGGAGTTCTTGTGTAAATATTCTTTCAGGCCTGACCCTTCAATGGCTCTTTCTCTCCCTGAGTTTGTGTGCCTGGTCCCTGGCAGTTCTGGAGTTCACTTTGAATGTCCCCATCTCTCATATGAATCAGAAAGTCTAGAAATGAGATCGCTCATCCCAAGCAAGATCTGTTTATATTCCTCTCCTTGGCTGTACTCCTATTGCAGGCCAATTTTGGACAATGCATGACAACATTACTAAACAATTAGGTAATGTTTCATGATGTTCTTTTCTATTCTCCCAGTCAGTTTCATGCTTTGTGATTTCCTAACACCCCTAACTTCAGATGTGAATTCTGACTGCTGTAGGTGAAAGGTACCTGCTAATACAAAGGTTTAAATTCCTGCTTAGAAAGGGAGGCATGCTCATAGAGACCCTGTTTTTATTATTTCCTGTTGAGACAGCACGGTAGAGTGGAAAGATTCCTGGCTCAGGGCTGGACAGGACTGGATTGAAATCCCATCTCTAATTGTCATTACTCCCAGTAGATGTTGGGCAGCCTAAATGAGCATCGAGTCTGTTCACCTGTAAATTGGATATAATAGCACTCACCTTGACAGTTATGGTGTGGTTTAGCTGAGTTTATTCATTTGTGAAGGACCTACCTACAGGATATTTTCTCTAAAGACTGGGCATGCTGCATGCACATCGCAAGCTCTCAGCTACATGTGCTACTTAATCTGCAAATCTCAGGTTCTCCTTTTCTAACAAAGGAATAGCAGCTTCTCTCCCCTTATATCTTGGAGGAAAATTAGAGAATACATTTAAGGCTCCTAGCACAGTGTCTGGCATAAAGGGTATGTGGGGAGGTGTTCATCTTCCTTCAGTAAAAAATTTATTTAAGAGCATGTCTATAGGAACAATCAGGGTACTTCTCTAAATAAGGGAAAACAAAGAAAAATGTTCACCAAAAGAATTGTAAGGAATTGTAATTGTGGGGTAAACTTGAAGAGCCCCATGGGTGTGGCTTATGCCTGTTTGTTGGAGGTCGGGGTATGGGCCAAATGCACTCTCCAAATGGCAAAATAGTCAAAAGAGATGCAAAGGGTTTTGCTGAGAGAGAATGGGAACCCTGAAAGTGTCCCACTTGCCAGGTCCAGATCTGGCTCTTTCCTCAAGTCCCTTATGGACAATGGTCCCCTATAGACAATACATAATCACTTCTAGAGCAGGAGAAACCCCCAGGATGTAAGAATGGATGGAGGAATCTTATTAGAATTTTTCTCTTATACTGTTTCATGTGGTCTCAGGACTTCCGGGTTGGTGATGACCAACTTATTCTTAGAAAAGATAATTTTTAAACCTCAGTGAGAATATGCACTGCATCCTCTGGCCCACTCCTCCCTACACCTTCTGTTCTGATGCTAATGTGACAGGGATGGGGCAGGAACTTTAGACTCTTCCTAGCTCATCATCTTTCATGAAGATGTGGCTGGGAAAGATGGTGGTGGTATTTGGAGACTCCCTTAAACACTCCTATTGGGGAGTAGCTCCACTAAGGTTGGAAAAAGCCTAGGGATTCCCAGAAATACAGGGTGAGGAATTTACCCAGTGCTGAGAATCATCTTGCCTGTCATTGTCCCAAGCCTTGCTGCCTCACAAATGTGTTGATAGACCCTTTTAAATTCCGAGCCATAACTGATATGAGGTATACTGACAGCTTTCAGATTTAATGTTGAAAGGTGTAAACAGATTACTCCGTATTGGTTCAAAAGGACAGGTGGCAGCTATGATGAGAGTATTCGGGAAATACAATATTTCCTCAGCTGTCCAGTGACATGAAAGACTAGGGCAGATGAGGCCAACCAGTATTGTTTAGGCCAAGGTTGTGATTCCCGCCAATCAAAACAACCTGCTACTTTGAAAGGCTGGAAGGAGCTGAGCCTAAGAAACCACTGTTGACTAAACGAGTAAAAAGTTCTAAGAACAAATCGGATCCTTCTTTACTTCATTTTAATTTTTTTTCTTTATTTATTTCTTTCCTTTTCCTTTTCTTTCCTCTTTCTCTTCCTCCAACTTCTCCTTTCTCTCTTTCTTTTTAACCTTGTTTTCCCATAAGGAGTTTTCTCTTAATTAGGGCAAGAGCTAAACCATTCTAAATCTATGAAACTGAGTTTAGGAATGGGAGCTGCAGAACTTGGTTAAAACTCCACCTGGTTCCTCTGTGAGCAGTGGTTGTGACTGGTCAGTTTGGCTGATTTCCCTTGGATAAGCACTTTGGTTAATAGAGAAATATACCGGGTGAGAGGCTTTAAGCTTTAATTGAAATCTATGTGTCTTCAGCCAAACTCCCACAACCAAAGAGGCCAAGAGAACTTAGAGCCTGTGAATCTTTTATGGTTCTACAGTGGGAAAGGATTAATATTTAGTCATGTTCAGGGCAAACAGAATGGGAAGCAAATGAGGAATTTAGGAAAAATGCTGCATATATGCAGGAGAAAATCATTGGGCATGGAAATTAAAGTGATTTTTATTCAGCATGAAAATGGCATAATCTGCAGGCTGGAAGGACTTTGCAGCCTGGTTGGAGCAGTTGTTCAAAATGTGCCTTCCCACTGGGGTCCCTCTCCAAGCACTCAGCTTCCTTCCCTCTGACAAGGTCACTGCTGTAAGAGTCAGCAGGTGACATTGACATTTACCTTCTATGACCTGGTTACTCAGAGTACATTTATATCTGTTATTTTAGTTTTTTTACTGATTGCCCAGTGAAAGCAAATTTTATGACCTCCTTGTCTTACTGTATAAAATATTGTTTTTTAGAGGAGTGATGACCTTAATTAGTATTGTAGGATATAAAATGTAAACATAGTTAAGAGAATTGGCAAATGCATACAATTACAGAATTGCTAAATTAATCATAAACAATAGATGAAATATGAACATTGGTTGTTTCACCATGTGGAATTTAATTGTTTATAAAGTTAGGATCAAGTCCACACTGAATTGGCAGATTGTGCCATCTTTCGTTTAAAATTGGGGATATGAGAAGTAGAAGCACAGACATTTGTGGGCAACATAATGTGCAAGTATACTTTATACATACTTTTAAATAAAAATAAAAAGGGAAAGTTTGGCATATACTTTTGGGATTGTGTTTTAATAATGTAAACATTGGAGCTAGGCATGGTGGCATACATCTGTAATTCCAGTGTCTCTGGAGACTGAGTCAGAAGGATTGCAAGTTTGAGGCCAGCCTCAGTAACTCAGTGAGTCCCTGTCTCAAAATAAAAAAATAAAAATGGCTGATAATGTAGTTCAGTGGTAAAGTGAGCCTGGGTTCAATATCCAGCACCTCCCCCACCCAGCCTAATGTGATCATTGGGTTGGGGATGTCGCTCATGCCTAGCGTGCTCAAGTTTCTGGGTTTCATCCCCATTAATTATAATGATGATGATGATAATATAAACATTAAATTAGTTTTATGGTAACAGATTAGGTATATTTAGTATGTAGTTACTTAGCTGTTGGGTTATTTTTATTGATATAAACCATCTAAAATAATGTGATCACATAGTATGAATACATGTCTCTCTTTATCTGCTATTAAAGGTTATATCAAGGTTCTTAGCCCAAGGAAAATAGAGATCAAAAGAATAAATAATCCCTCAAATACAACCCAGAATCTATTTATTTAATTATTATTATTTAAAGCACTGTTTCATTTTAGACTCATGATTGAAAATTTGCTATTATCTTTAGGCTCCCAATAGTATTGGCTTTGGTAAAGAAGGTGAAAGATCTATGACAATGACCAAATCAATAAGAGATGACATTCCTTCCACCCAAGAGAACCTGTTGAAGTGGGCTTTGGACAATGGCTATAGTCCAGTAACATCATACACACTGGCTCCTGTGGCTAATAGATTTCATCTTAGGCTTGAAAACAATGGTAAGAATGATTTTTGTTGTTGTTGTTTTAAAAATATTATCCAATTGAAGCTTTCCAGTGAGGAACTCTCACTTCTGCTTGAATGGTGTTGTTTTTCTTTTGCACATTTAAACAGTTCCTTTGACTACTTTCTTCTATAAGACTTAAAATTATGTAGAATTGCAAAAAAATTATTTGGTGAAACTATAACACAGATTTTCTTAACCTAGAGTTTACTGCATGTCGGTGACTTTTGTTGGGAATAAATTAGAGCCTGTGTTCTTCTCTTGGGGAAATCTGAGGCTGAGAATTCAAAGGGGTTAGGGCTGCAGACAAGTCTGTGGCCTGTAGTCTTGGCTGTATCTTGTAAAAGAAAGGTAATGAGGACTCCTGCTTGGGCTTTCTTGTGCAGGAGTTGCCACCTCAATATGATGGAGTAGAAAGCAGAGGCTCCACAAGTTCTTGAGTTTCTAGAGGCTTATAGTTAGAATGACTCAAACCCCAACTCTTGTGATCCCCAGACCTCTTTCTCATTGTGTAGTACCACTACTGAGTGCAGTGCCACTAGAACAGAGGTTACAAATGTGGGATCAAGTCCCAGATCTGCTTTTTTTGCGGGGACAAGTTGCTTCACCTCTGAGTCTCAGATTCCTTTTCAGTAATGAGGGGAGATTATAGCATGGACCATACAGTTGTTATGGAGATATTATATTAATATACAAGTCAAAAACCCTCCAAAGCTATGACTGCCGTTGGACCTATTCAGCTGTAGCATGCTTTTCAAAAGGATTGTATTGAAGCAGAGTTGATGCCAACCAGTCATGGTCATATTCAACTTCCAGTGACATGGGTTTTACCTTAAGCACCCATGGGTTGGCTTTAGATCGTAATTGTAGAAAGACTGGGGAAACTTTTTATTTTTCTTTTAAATTATTGAAAATATGACAGAATGCTGAGCATTACTTGCATGGAAATACCTCTTCCTTTTAAAGAAATAACTATATCTAAGCAGCTCTTTCTTTACCCTTTGGGAATTATTAAAGTCAGGGTACCCAAATACCTTCTACAGTGTAGCAGTCAAAAAGGAGGCAGTAAAATAATTTTTAAATGCCAGTATTGGGAGTGGAGGTGTAACTCAGTGGTAGCACACTTGCCTAATGTGTTTGAGACCCTAGCGCCGACATAAATAAACAAATAAATATTAATATCATGTCAAGAAATCTTTTGAGGAACTATTCAAAAGATTTCTAGATCCAGGGAAAGTATTTTAATGGCATTTGTGTAGAATATATTGCCCTACATAACTTACTCTAGTCAGACTTTTATAACTTGTAGGAACTTAGAAGTCATCTACCATAATGGTTCTCAATCTTAGGAAGCCTAAAACATATTAATAATTGTGCCCTGGAAAGGATATAGAGAAAAAAGAACAGTTTTACATTATTGGTGGGATTGTTAATTAGTATAACCACTAAGGAAATCATATGGAGGCTCCTCAAAAGACTAGACATGGAACTACCGTATGACCCAGCTATACCACTCCTTGGTATTTATCTATCCTAAAGAATTAAAGTCATCATACTACAGTGATTCATGCATACCCATGTTTATAGCATCACAATTCACAATAGCCAAACTATGGAACCAGCCTAGGTGTCCATCAACAGATGAATAGATATATACACAATGGAATTTTATTCAGCCACATAGAGAAATGAAATTATGTCATTGGCAGGAAAATGGATGGAACTAGAGACCATTATGTTTAACAATTATAAGTCAAACTCAGAAGGTCAAAACTTGTATGTTTTCTCTCATATGTAGAAGCTGGAGAGGAAAAAGGAAAAGAAAGGTGGAGGCTGGAATCTCATGAAAATTAAAGGGGAGTCAGTAGAGGAAAAGGACTAAGAGGTGGGAGAGGGAAAGTGCTGGGAAGTGATATTGGCCAAATTATATTGTTATATTATGTGCATGTATGAATATGTAACAATAAATTCCATCATTAAGTATAATTATAGTGCACCAATTATTTAAAAAAGTAGAAAAAAAATTATTTCCTACCCCAGAGTCTTGAGTTTTAATTGGCTTGGGGTACAACCTGGGCAGTGAGGATTTTTTTTTTTTTTTGAAATCTCTAAGAGAGATTTTAATATGCATCCAACATTGAGGACCATGAATATGACCCAACCCCTTAATTTTAAAAATTGAGAACTGAGACATAGAGAAGCAAGCCATTTGCATAAAACCACTCAGCTAATTAGATACCAAGACTAGAATTCAGGCTTATAGACTCCTAATCACTTTTATACATTGCTTGTTAAATGTGCATTTACACCTGCCAATTCTGTGCTAATTCCTCCAGTTCTGCTTCTAATGATGATGGTTTTGGCCTAGCATCACGCACCAATGATGTTTTGCCTTCTTCTGTCACCACAGAGGAGATGAGAGACGAGGAAGTCCATACCATTCCTCCTGAGCTACGGATTCTCCTGGACCCTGGCTCCTTGCCTGCCCCAGATAAACCACCCTTCCGGGGTGGGGGAGGCCGAAATGGAGGTCTCCCCTTTCCTTTCCCTGATATCTCCAGGAGAGGCCGGAAGGAAGGGGGAGAAGATAGAATCCCCCATCCAAGGGACTCTGTCATCCCCAGCATACAACTGTTTCCTGGTCCCAGAGAACCAGAAGAGGTGCAGGGGAGCATGGGTGTTGCCCTGTCAGTCAGATGTGACAATGAAAAGATGACCGTGGCTGTAGAAAAAGATTCTTTCCAGGTTAGTACAGTCTCTTAGAGGAGAGGCCAACCTCCTTCCCCATTTTACCCTAGTCTGTGTTTATTATTTCCTTCTAGCTTTCTTGCTTTTGAATTCTGGACACTTGATGCTGTTTTCTCTGTTGGATGGACCCACTTTCTCTTGTCTTCGATTCTTACCTGGTTTCTATTGTTCTCAGTGAGGGGTGGGGTGGGGACAGTGGAGTTCCAGATCCTTATGTGTCAATATTTTGCTATTGAATTTCCAAGGCCAGCAATCACAGTCCTTGGGCTGTTGACAGGTGGTCAGCTGGGAAGAGGTAAGTGGGGAGACCAGGCAGCATGTGTGAACTGTGTGTGGCAGCACTACCTGTGAGCCCCCCCATTATGCCTTTGTTGGTTGTTGTTTCAGGCCAACGGCTACTCAGGGATGGAGCTCACCCTTCGGGATTCTTCCTGCAAGGCCAAGATGAATGATACCCACTTCATTTTGGAGTCTCCGCTGAATGGCTGTGGTACTTCGCACGGGCGGTCAGCCCCTGATGGTGTGGTTTACTATAACTCTGTGAGTGTTCTCCAGAACAAAGCTTTGTCCTTTGTGAAAGCACTTTTGGACATTACTTTAAAATTCATCTTAATGTTTCTATGGAAATTAGGGGGGACCTGAGTAAAGCCATATATTAGTTCTCAACAAAATGGGATGCACTTTGACCCTGATCTCTGTTTCATTTGCTTTGTTGGTGAGTCTTTGGGAGTTGGAAGACCCTGTTTCCTCATCTGGTATTGTGATGATCTCATCCACTCCTTCCTTCCATCTCCTGATGGAGGGTTCATTGGCAAGTGATTGTGACTTCTCTCTATGGCCAAGCTGCAGTTCCAAATGGCCTGGGACAAAACCCAAGGCTTTGGGCTATGTGTAAACAGCTCTAACCAGGTGTATGGTCTCTCTGGTCTCATTTGAGTCTTGTCCAGAGTGAGAGGTCTTCACTCTGTCTCATAAATAATGATCAGAGAGAGAATATAAAATCTGAAAAGGACCTTTAAGTAATTATTAAATCTTTCTTTACCTCTAAAAAAAACCCCCTAAATTGAAGAAAATTTCCTTTGAAAGTACCTGGAGAAGGATTCCACTGATAGCCCCCATTGATAATCCATTGCAATAGCTAAATTTCACTTCCCAGAAAAAAAATCTTTCTTGTGACTATCTAAATCTTTTCAGATTAAACCTGTTCTCTTGGAGATGGAGACTAGGCAGTGAATAGTAAAAGAATTTATAGATGAAATCCCCAAAAAACTTCAAAGTGCTGATTTTAGAGTTTGGATTGTACTTTTCATGTTAAAAATGAGGCTCAGAAGTCCCCTTGTCTACCTCTGATGCAGAGTGTGTCTGTGGGCTCCAACCACCTACTCCAGTGTTGACATGGGATGGGGTGACTGTGGCTGCTGGTTCTTGCCACTGCTTGTCAACAGATAAATTTGACCCAACCAGGAGGAGGCTAGAGATCACATGCTGTGGTCATTGTGGTTCATATGGGGAGTGGCTCTCCTGTGGGCCCAAGTTTATTGTTCCTTAGAGAACCTAGGATCTTGCATCTGGAAAGAATCCTCAGATGATCTCATTCAATTTCCTTATTTCACAGGTGAGGAAATTAAACTCCTGGGAGTTAAAAAAAAAAACTTGTTTAGGTTCAAGGGACTAGTTAATGGCAGAGTCAGAACTGAATTCTTTCATCCACTAATCTTCATATCTTCATAACAGGTTGACCTAGCTAATCCCCCTTTGTCACCCAAATAACTAATTTATTAACCTTTGACTTTCCTACTAATTATGACACTCATTTTCTTGGAATTATCCACTTTTTCCTTAGATACTGACTGGCATACATTACTGCTAGACTTGACTTGGGCATTTTAAAACTGGTTTCCAAGTTAACATCAATAAAAGTGTGTGATGATCTGCCTGTTAAGGCAAAAAGATGTCTTTTCCTTCAGGAAAGAAAGGCATATCATTATTTTTATTTTCTTTGTGATGATGTTCTGGGTAAGCAACATCCTGGACATTTATTTCAGTTGCCTCAATACTTTCTTTTGAGAACCTGGCAAAAAGAGAGTCAATTTTCCCTCATTCTCTTCTCTTCAGTGTATATTTTAACTGTTTGTTCCAGTTATAACTATTTATAGTAATGTTACTATATGTTTTTGTTTTGTATCAATTTCAGAATTTTTTTTGTGTGTGTGTGGAGCCATGGTCCTTGGGTAAATTTTTTTTAATCTTATTAAGAACTAACCTAGGAACAATAATTTCAACCAATGTTAAGGTAGATTGACTTGGACTAGAACATATTTTTTTCTGTACCCAGATACCATACAGAAAGATACTAGGGGAGAAATGAGCAAAAGAGTAGTATAAAGAAAAGAGGAGGAGACTGTCTCCAGTGTAAACATTAGGTTCTTTGTTTCTATCTCAATCTAGGCTTTCCACAAAGTTTGAAGGGTAATAATAACTAAAGCTCCTGACAATATTCAGCTTTTAGCATTTCTTAGAGATCAAATATAAAGACCTGTAAGGAGAAGCTTTCCTTACAATAAGACAGGCCTGTTGACAGCCCTTTTAACTCCGATTCAGTGTCTAGGGTCTTCCCACTATTTGAAATAATTGTTATTTATTCAATGTAGTTGTAAAATGAATCTGTATTTTTCACAAGTTAGTTAGTTCAGGTCTTAACTTGGACCTGCATTGGGCTTCTCCTTATTATTTATCAAAGGTGAAATCCTTAAAAGTTTGGAGATTTTTTTTTTTTATATTAAAGCCAGGTTTTTAATTTGCATCTGAATTGCCACATGGTGTTCACAGAACCTGATGCACTGGTTTGGTGGTTTTTTTTTAAACAATGGCTGTGTTTTCTTTGCCTTTTAGGTTGTGATACAGGTTCCATCCTCTGGGGATAGTAGTGGTTGGTCAGATGGCTATGAAGATTTGGAATCAGGTGATAATGGATTTCCTGGTGATATGGATGAAGGAGATGCTTCTCTGTTGAGCCGACTTGAAATCTCAGTATGTGTTGGTTGTAGTATTTAATTTGTAGAGAATGTTGTCCATTTGGTTGATTTTCTTTGGGGACTGTTAGACAACAAGATTGTATGTCACAAAGCTCATATAACTAGGAGGGGCTTCATCCTTCATGTGATTTTGATTTATCCTTATCTCTGTTTTTTTTGTTTTGTTTTGTTTTTGTTTTTCTAGTTTAATTGCAGCCTGAGGCAGCTGGGGAATCCCACTAGTTTTCAGGACCAGCCCAATGGAAACATCACTTTCAACATGGAGCTTTACAACACTGACCTGTTTCTGGTGCCCTCCCAGGGGGTCTTCTCTGTGGCAGAGAATGGGCACATTTTTGTTGAGGTGAGACGGAAATATTATCCTCAAGCTTTCAGCTTAGTGCTGAATTGCCATTCATGGGATATTAGCACCCTATATGGGCCTCTTCCTGTGCCTCCTCACAGCCTGTAGCTCTTGGCTGAGAAAACACTTCCAGCGTACTTTCTGAACAAAATGAGATATCTCAAAATCTCATATATTATGGGAAAGGAGAGAGAGCGACTTTTTAATATCTATTATTATTTTTATTTTAATGTACCAGGGGTTGAGCCCAGGGGCACTTGAGCCCTGAGCCACATCCCCAAGCCTTTCTATTTTTTTTTTTTAATTTTGAGTAGGGTCTTGCTAAGTTGCTTAGGGCCTTGCTAAATCGCTGGGACTGGCTTTGAACTTGCAGTTCTTCTTTCTCTACCTCATAAGTCCCTGGGATTACAGGCATGACCCACCATGCCTGGCTTTTTTTTTTTTCTTTATAATGCTTCTTTCAGTGCATTCTAGTTATTCACAATAGTGGGGTTCATATTGGCATAATCATATATGCATGGAAGAAGAGAAAAATCTAATAGGTGAATGTTTTTTAAAAAATGGGCAGGGCATGAATTCTACTAATAAAACCTTATGTTTGCTTTGATCTTAATCTTAGTATATTTGGAGCCGTAGTTTAGTAGTTGCCACGTCAGAGTTAACCATGTAATATTTCAAACAACCTCACATATTATCTTTTAAATTACACTCACCTTTCATTTTAGTGCAGGGTATCAAACCCAGGGCCTCACGCATGACAGACAAGTGCTCTATCATTGAACCACAACTCCAGCCCCTTGCATTCACTTTTAAGCAAAATGCTCAGTGCTATCATATCTCATGAAAATTGTTTTTTTGGAGGTGGGAATGTGGCCCAGTGTTAGAACACTTGCTTAGCATGTGTGACATCTTAGGTTCAGTACCTGCACCACCAACAACAAAAATAAAAAATACAGAAAGAAAAGAAGATAATTTTTTCTAAGTCTAGTCATTATCTAAGTATTTGTTTAAATTTATTAAAAATGTTTACTATATAAAACAGTGATGATCATGTATAGCACAAATCTGGACCATAGAATATTAGATAGTAATAATGAAAGTAATAATGAAAAAGTGACAGCTAACATTTATTGCTGATTTATGATGTGCCAAATACTGTTGTATTATAGTAATTAACTCTTCGGAGCAATCTTGTGAGAAGGGACTAATAATGGTTGCATCTCATGGATGAAAGAGTTGAGGAACAAACTTGTCCAAGTTCACACAACTAGTACCCAGTAGAATTCAGATTCAGAGTTCTCTGTCAGGCCATGTGGCTGCATGTCCTCTAGACACTGCTGTCATTTATCCTCAAAGTGCCATTTGAAAGAGAAGAAAATATGAAGTCTCATCAATGCAAACATCCGGGTTCACAGATTGGATTCTAAAGACAAATCGCATGGCACCAGACTGTCCTCTATTCCTGTACCCTGGCCACAACCTGGTCTTACAGGGAAGTTGGCATCTGACAAACTGGCTTTGGTGCTAAGCTGCAAGCTGGTGTTCTACTTCACTGTGAGTGAGAAGGGAGGAGTGAGAAGCTTAAGGGGTCGAAATAGGATACTTCCATATGTTAAAAGTGACTTCAGTGCACATATTTCTGTTTTGGAAAGACTAACAACTCTCACATCTGCACTGGCTCTGGGACGGAGCCCTCTGGCTCTGGATGTTGTTTTCCTTGATCATATGGATTCTGCCTCTCCTCTTTAACTCCCTGTTTGGAGAGTGCTTCTCTTTCTAGGGTACACTTCTTTCATGACTGAGGAAAATTCACTGCTTTCTACATGCTGTTCCTAATCATAGATTTTCCCTAATCCAAGATTGCCGTCATCCTCTGGCTGCACAATCCACATATGCAGTTGGTCAGTGACTCCCTGTTGTGCTGTGAATTTTAGGGGTGCTGCTCAACTGCAGTTTCTTCTTTTCCAAATGTGTACCTGGCTTTGCTAATTTATGGCATTGTTGGTTTATGCTGATCAGTGGCTAATCTTCTTTGTGTATCTTGCCCTGGATATTTTGGGATTTTTCCTCTGCAATGCTGGCTTACTTGAAATATATTATTAGTAAGGTTTTTTTTTTTCCCCTCAGTCTTGTTTTTCTATTCTTTTCAAATATCATCTATACATTTCAAACTTAAATTTGGTAAAAAGTGAACTATATCTTTTTGCTACCATTTTAAATATAAAACATATTGAAAATTTGGGGGATGGGGAAATTTTATAAACTATTTTTTCTTAGTTGATTTAAAATACCTAAAATAGGAGAGAGAATCTGTAAATGTTTAGGTAAATTAGGATAGCAACCAGGCATGCCGTGTCTTTGTTTCCAATTTGGACTCCACTGCTGGTAGGAAAATTTTTTACTTAGGTTAAGTAAGACTTAATAAATCATTGATTTGACCTAAAGAACAATTTCCCAGTTTTTTCTCCTAGCCATCCTTCTTATCCCTTCCTAGAATCCTCTGTTTTCTCTAACCACAGGTCCTAACTTTAACCTAAGACATTATCAGTTTTGCCACCTCTTCCTTAGTCGTCTCTGGATAATTGTTGGTAATATAATGGCAGTTTTTCATTTGGTTCTTTTGTCTTGGAGAATTAAAACAACAACAACTGTTTATAACACCCAAAATTTAAATCTAGAATTATACTGCTAAAGATGGATGGTATTTATTAACTCTCTGGGAGCTGTGTTGTTTGCATATAACTTTACTAATTCTCACAATAACTATATCTTGTATGTGTCCTTGTAGGTAAGGAAACTTTAAATCTTGGTATATTTGAGAACAGAAGAGCATGTGATTTTCTTGGACATGTCTCATTTCACAGCCTGTATTCTCATTTCTGGTCAATCTTAGAGTAAAAGACTTACTGATAATGTTTTTTCCCTTCCAAGAAAAAAAAATAATGGGATCCCCTAGATATTCTGCCATTACATACGTTCTTTGAGAGAAAGAAAAGATGTAATGTTCCTTTGCTACACATTTTTGCATTGTGAGTTCTGAGTTCATCTTAAAGGACACGTTACTAGTAGGATATATGTAATTTACCATCTTTCCAAAGTAGAATATCTTGTTCTATAGAATATCTTGTTGCAAAGATAAGGAAGTTGAAATATCACCAAGTGTCACCATAAGCTGCGGTATCATAATCATATTCATTAGCATCCTCCTGCTCCTCATCATCTATTTGTTGAGTGCCTCATGGTTAACCATGCAGGCATCTTTCACAATAGTGCTGTGGATTCAGAGCTCCCTGCAATGTCAGGGGTTTCCCCTGGGTATCTCAGAATGGAAAGTTTGTTTATATCTTCATGTCTTTTGAAAGGATTCTGGGGCTACTGGCCTGGGGGTGAGGACTAACTTTATTTAAAAGTGTTTAAGTTTATTTTGATCCTAAATTTAGTTAAGGAATGAGGCATGGAAGGGGGAGGGCAGTCCACGCCATGATCCATGTGTCACCAAATGGAGAATTCAGTCTGTTCTAGGGATTTTAGCTGAGTTCAGGATAGTTGATGTTTGAATTCTGTTTACACTTTGCTAAACACTACTTCCTGTTTCTAAAGAAAAGAACCTTAACAAGATTTGGACATGGCCCATACAAATGTTTTGTAAGAAGGAAGTGTAAATGAATTGGAAATGTTTCCAGATTAGATTTCCCTTAAAATACCCCTGGGCTTAAAGAGTGAAGGGAGAGTACTTGGCAAGGCTGGTTTGGTCCTATGAGCAGCTGGGACACTTTGCCAGGTCCATGATGGCCACCAGATTGCACTGTCCCTGACATCCAGCATCAGAGCTCAGCTCTGCCTGCTCACAGACTAAGCAGGAGCTCAGATGAATCTGTAATAATGTTTTAGGTTTGATCTGACTTGTGGTTTAGTTTTTTTTTTTCTTTTTTCCTTTTTGGTGATATGCTGGGGATTGAACCCAGGGCCTTGTGCATTTGAGGCAAACACTCTACCAACTGAGCTATATCCCCAGCCCCATGATTTATGGTTTAGAAACTCAGTCTTCCCTGCAAAGTTAGGGATTCTGCCTCTGTGTTCTACCTTTTGAGCAAGTTTTTAAAAAGAGCTTGTTCTGTAAGCAAAACACTATTATTATGGCTTTGCTGTAGGTGTTTTACTTATTTTGGACAATTCACTTCAGCGCACGGTGTGCTTTTATTTTTATCACTCAGAGGACTTAAGGGGGCGTTGAAGAGACTTATTCATCTTGCATTTGAAACTTCCAGGCTGGCATTTGAACTAAATCACTGTCATCATCCATATCAAATTTAAATGGAAAATACTTTTCTTCAATGAGCATATGTTACTTTTGTAGTTAGAAGTCTATACATATGTTATGAAAATAAAGTAATGTCTCATCTGAAGGGCTAGGTCAGCATGCTATTCTTGTTCCCTCAAGTAAAAGCAAGATGCTAACTTGTTTCTGAATTGATTTTTCTGATCTTTTGTAGGTATCGGTCACTAAGGCTGACCACGAACTGGGATTTGCCATCCAAACATGCTTTATCTCTCCATATTCGAACCCTGACAGAATGTCTGATTATACCATCATTGAGAACATCTGTCCTAAAGATGAGTCTGTGAAATTCTACAGCCCCAAGAGAGTGCACTTTCCTATCCCACAAGCTGAGATGGATAAGAAGCGATTCAGTTTTGTCTTTAAGCCCATGTTCAATACCTCACTGCTCTTCCTGCAGTGTGAACTGACGTTATGTACCAAGAAAGAGAAGGATCCCCAGAAGTTGCCTAAGGTTAGTAGGCTTTCATCCATCTAGACCACTACTTTGACATTTTTAGGTGATGCAGTGACCTACTGGGCAAGTTTAATCCCCAGTTATCGCAGGTTGAGGCTTTTGGTTTTGGAATTGCCCAACTGAAGTAATAAAGTCAGGGTGAGCGGGGAGCTGTGAGTTTTATGGAGTCTTAGAGAATAAATCCTGACGGTATGATTTTTTTCTTTCTTTCCTTCCATGTGTGCTACTTAGTATTACCTTACGAGTGATAAATCAGGACTATTTTCCACTGAGGGAGAGAGAGATCTGGCTTTATCTCTGCTGGTCAGATTGTGTGCAGTGTGCAGTGCCAGAAGTACAGGGAGCCGAAAGGACAAGTTCAGCATGAGGATTAATTTTTCCAAGTCCCGTTGAGACTTGGATTGCAATTGCTTTTTTGACCTTCTCTGTGTGAGTTAGAAGGTTGACTGGTTTCAGGAAGATTTCTAAGGGAAACTAACAACTATTTTACTCTTTCTCAGTTTCACATCAGTTCATCATGTTTGCCTCATATCGCTCCCTGTATTGAACCACTACATTCTGTTGCCATAACAGAAATCAGAGCCCTTTGGCCTCACTGGAATGGCTCATGCAGCGCTCTACTAGGTTTATGATGATGCCTCGTTAGGTCAGCCTGTGCGTGAAAGGTGTCTTCTCTTGTAGTTTCGTTTCTGCATCCTGCTGTGATGATGTATAATTTCCAATGTGTATTTATTCCATAGATACCACACAGTGTAAATTAGCTTCTCATCCTTTGTACTCACATATCAATTGATATCTCCATGGTTAAGAATCAAGATGTATCATTAGTAATGCATATATGGAATTCTCTCACTTAATATATAGGCCATAGGAAATAGGTTTAGAAGAGATAAAATTATCATTATCAAATAGATTGCCATTGATCTGAATCCCTTGCACTATTATATTTCTCTGGGAATTCGTTTCTTTAAAAATTTATGAAAATTCTATATATGATGTCTATATATGAAATGTCTATATGTAAAAACAGAAAATCTGATGATAATCATTAGGGACACATATAAGGTGACTTAATATCAATTTCTTTGCTTTTGGAAGCATGGATACTTTAGGTTGGTGGGTATTTACTTTCCAGTGGCCATCAAGATTGGGGCTTAGTGGATGGTGTAGAGAGCCATGGGGAGCTCGGTGCTTAGCTGTGGGACACAGTCACTTCCTGGAGGCAGAAGGATAACTTTTAGGAGTTGGGTATTTAGGAGAGGAGGATGGCAGTTTTTAGGGATCTTTGTTGGTGACTTTGGCTGTTACTTCTTTCTTTGTGGTGTGTCAATCTATGAAAATTAATTCTAATATTTCCTTCCAGAACTCTCCATGGAGAGTTCTGAGTCCCACATTCTGATCACATGATGGGATATGATCCTGAATTTCAAGTCACTGTTTACTTTCAAGGTAGGGAATAGTGGAAAGGGCATGGGAAGAGAGAAGAAAGGCCTGCTGCACTCAGGGGACTTTAAGCAAGTCTCTCAGCCCCTCAGATCCTTTATGTCCTCATCTGTAAGCTAGGATAATAGTACCTGGCTTCCCTCTGGTTAGAAGAACAGGTGAGACAGTAGCTGTGATGCAGCAGAGGTTTAAGATGAGCTGTTACCACTATCTTCCCATTTGAGTCCTTAAAATAGCTACAAGTGGCTGATCTCATGGTCCACACACCTGGGTGCCTCTCCTTAGAACCTGCATTTTAGAATATTAAAAGCAGTTGATCCTGGGCTTGGAGGCTTAGCTCAGTGGTAAAGCATGTACAAGGTCCTGGATTCAATGCCCTGTAATCCCCTCTTTTCAAAAAGCAGATGACCCTGGAAAGTTTGATTTTGCAGTGCCTATATCAGGATTTTGAAAAAAATCAAACAAACTTAATAATACTATTATCTTTTTAGATAACAAATGTAAAATCTGTCAACCACATGATGCAATATATGAAGTTTCCCACAATCACAAATCACAATCATTTATCACAAATGTTATCACAAGCCATCTCTATGAAGCCAACTGGGTGAAGGGCCAGCATTCATCATACAGTTCCCCTATTTTTCAAACTAACTCTAAAACTTTGGGTTGTTTTTCAGGAAGAAGGGGTGGGGATGATAATATTTATAAGCCATCTAGTGATGTTTGCATCTTCCAGGGCAGCTGAAAATATAGTGGGCCTGCCTTAATATCTCCCTGATTATTTAGGGTTCTTGAAAAACACACAAATCTCCTGTTTTTCCATGGTAAACAGCTGTGAGCTGTCTGATAAGGGGCTACAGAACAACAGTGCAGGCTGGGCTGGCAAAGGCACTTTCAAGTGACCTCTGACTGCTTTGCTCTTCCTGCCTGTAGTGTATACCTCCTGATGAAGCCTGCACCTCCCTGGATGCCTCCATGATTTGGGCCATGATGCAGAATAAGAAGACATTCACCAAGCCCCTGGCAGTGGTCCACCAAGCAGAACCTAAAGGTACGTATTAGGGGCTCAGTCAGAGAATAGGGGCCCAAAGGATACTCCTAAAACTATTCAATACTATGAAGTTCAGTTTTATTCAAGAGATAAGTTAAGGACCTATTAGTAACTTTAGAAAGGGATTCTTTTCCAAAGAGTCTTTTCCTCAGCTAGTTCTCCTACTGCCATTGTGATTAAGTTGTAATACATTTACAAAGTATGTCTTCTTTCAAAAATTAGATCACTCTTCTTCTTGTTAGATCTCATTAGATCACTCTTGCTTCCTTGTGGTATGGAACAAAGGCTTAAAGTTACCTCTGGTATTCTGGGACTAGCACCCAGTCTATAGCCCATCTCTCCATGATCCATGGCTAGTGGTGGTGCTGGCTACAAGCTAATGTGATACTTTGGCAAAATTGCAGATGCCTTTGAGAGAGCATTGCGTCTGCTAACCTTGTTTATATTGAGGGTCACAGTAGAAAGATGATGGAGAACCACCACCCCAAATGCATTTTATAATTCAGTTTTTATAACTTTATACAATCAAATTTGTTGCCCAAATCTAAGAGTCCCCCTTCTTACACATCAGGAACCTTCAGCAAGCCGCATCTTCTAGAGAAAAAGATATGCCTTGAGGGGGTGGCACCAGTAAATGGGAGGACAGGCAGGGCAGAGCCAGACTTGATGTAAATCAGGCCAGCTGGACCAGCAGAGAAGCAGAGCTGGGCCCTAAGAGGATGTCAGGAATGGAGATGAGGCCCTGTGGATTGTGAAGGGAGCATCTGACAGGGACTACATTGCAGCTCCAGGGGGCACAAACAAGCGTGAGCACATCAGGCAGCTGTCAACATCTGAGGGGTGGAACTAAATGTCACATGGGATATCTGGTCAGTTATAGTTGTCTCTGTCTAGAAACAACTTGTCACTCTCCAGAAGCATTGCTGTGTCAGGGTGTCAAACTGAGAGGAGGCTGGAGAATGAAAGTGGATTCCAAACCTCCAGGGTGAGATATTTCAGGGCTGGAGCCGCAGGTTACCTCCCACCCCATTGACGGACAGAGAGAAGCCAGATACCAAGGGCCTTGTCGGAAGTCAGTGAGCAGGCTGGCTCCAGCTGCTGGGCATTAGCAGGGAGACCTGATGGCTGGGTTTGGGGCCACTGGAAGAGGGCACTTCTGATCTGAGCACTGCTGGCCTGATATTTGGCAGAAGTAGGCAGCTGGGGTGGCTCTGGAGCAGGCGGGACCTACCAGAACAGAGGCATGTGGGTGCTGGCCGGTTTCTTATTTGGCTGAATGACCCTTCTGTGGATAGCTGTGCCATTCCAATTGTCATATCTGTCTGTGGCAGCTTCCCTCTTCCTAGGGCCCATGCCCATGTCAGAAAGGAAGGCAAGTATAGGAGGAGAGTATTGGCGCAGGGCCAGGAACCTGGGCCACCACTCTTGACTTTCCCCCACCAACTGGTTGGGAGACTCCAGAGAACTCTCCTCACCTCTTCGAGTTTCATTTTCTCCATCTGGAGAGGAGGAGTTTGGATCAGGTGGCTTCCAGACTTCCAGCTGCAACACTCAAGTATGCTGCTGGATGGAGCAAAATAATTTTTAATTCATTTCCCAGCCATCCTGAAGTCAGTTTGAAATGTACCTGTTAGATGTGGAGTGGGTCCTCCACATTGTTTTTGTTGTTGGTTTTTTAATTTTTAATTTTTAATTTTTTATTTTATTGGTTGGTTTTCAACCATTTGAAAGTTACAACAGACATCTTTCTTTAAATGGGATGCTCAAATCTGAGTTCCTTTTTATTGGGTTCAGGGGAAAGAAATAAGAATAAATTAGTTATGTTGCAAAGAAACAATTAGTCCACAGTTGGCTCTGTTTTGTCCTGTGAAAGTGGTTTAACAATAGCAGCAGCTCCTCGAACTCCATCTGTTGCTCCCACCTATTTTGAGAGAGGTAATTCTGTGGGTAATTGAAGGCAGCAGCTTGCTTTTTCCCATGCCAGACAATAATTACACATTAATATTGCAGCAGTATAACTTCCAGCAATTCATTCATTTTTTTAAAAAGTCTGGCGGTATTTTTCTAAGTAATTTTTCTTGTAAATTAGGTAATTACTTTTCTTTAAACTTAGTGTAATTATACTGAGAGTTCAGTGTATTTTGTTACATAAAAGTTCAAGAGGAAAGTTTTACCAAATATCAAAGCAATTTCATGAGATTTGCTAATTGAGACTAGATTTTAGTAGAGAAGCATGTTATTGCTTAGATTTGTTAAATTCATGAGGTTAAACAGTAGGCCAGCTTCCCAGAGGCTATATGCAAATTCGCTGACTGCACTGAATGGGTGGGATTTCTGACAGTTTTCAACTCTTAGAATGACTCCTCCCCCTTTTATGTATATTTTCTTTGTCTCTAAACTCTTCACCTATTGCAGACCTCTGGAGTCAGCATATTTTCTTCTGTCTCACAGTGAATTAGAATAGTCCTTTGAAAAGGGTTTGTGATCATTGGCCCAATACCATAGGTTCATTGAAATAATAATAATAACATCATGAATGTTCTTCCTGGGAGCAGGCAAATCATTTGCTGGGATTAACTTTTTGGATAAAAATTTCCCAACCAAGGGATGTTCCACTGTCCTTTTATTACATAGGTGCCCTGTGAAGGAAGCTCCAGCTCTCCCTGGCATTTGATGTATCTTATTTTTTGAGTGTTGGGTTTTCAGGGTCAGCAGATAGAGGCAGAGCACCAGGCAGAGAGAGTGGTGATTACCATTGTCAATAGCATGAGTATCCCTCAAGCCCATGTTTTTTCCTCTTGTACACAAGAGAGCAGGCTGTCAAGACTTCCCAAGTAATTCTGAGTTCACCCTCCAGTCACTGTTTTTAGTGGAGTCTCACTGAGCACATCTCTGCCACCTTTGATTTTTAAGTCCTTATGGGAACCATCACTTGGTTATCATTCTTTTTTCTTTTTTTTTTTTAAAGAGAGAGAGAGAGAATTTTTAATATTTATTTTTTTAGTTTTCGGCGGACACAGCATCTTTGAATGTAGTGCTGAGAATCGAACCCGGGCCGCACGCATGCCAGGCAAGCGTGCTACCACTTGAGCCACGTCCCCAGCCCAATGGTTATCATTCTTTATCTACTTAAACTTTTAACAATGGATTGTGGTCCTAGTGGTGGTGAGGATCCAACATTTATTGAGCATTTACTTTTTATAATGTTGTGGGTTATATTTAATCCTCATTGCACCTGCATTTAAAGAGAGATTAAATAACTTACCAACAGTCATGCAATCTATAAAAGCAGATCTGGAATTAAATCCAGGCTTTTTGATCCTATAACCTGTGCTCTCAAACTGCCTTCTCTCAGGTGAAACATGGTGCTAGTTATTAATAAAAATTACCAACAACACAGGTAGCTCTCTCTTCATACTCCTTTTCTCTTCTGCCTTCCCCCTCTTCATTCCATATCACATAGGTATTTGCAGTACCACCTAAATACCGTAAAGAATATGAACTGGAAGAAAGATGATGAATTTTAGGGGGGAGAAAAAAAAAGTCTGTTCCTCTAAAGGGCTAAGGAAATGTGGAGTCTGCTTAATAGTGTAGTAAAGTTCAGGAAAAGTTCTGTGACTTTGGATTATAAACAAACAAAAAACTCCAGAAAACTTGAATAGTTTATGCATATTATGATTTATGGCAAAACAATTAAAATAGTTGAGGTAAGGCCATCCTACCATATTTTTCAGAAACATGTTGAAGTATAGGCATGTTTGCTTTGGATGCTGTGACTACTCTTTAGAGCACTAGAGAATAGTTGGTCTCACACATGGTTACACCATGCCAGTGATGATTTTAAAAAAAAAAAACTATGACAGAGTACACACCGAGAGAAATGGTCATATGGACAGAAAAGAGCAATAAATATCATTCCCAAATTTGTCATGATTTATATGCAGTACTTAATTCTCAGCATGTTAAATGTTTGAAGTACTGAATTTCCTTCATATTTCACTACACAGCTTCAGAAAATAAAAGCACCTGCATATCATAGATAGTCAGTAAATGTTAATTTCCTCTCTCTTCTCTTAGCCAAAGTTGGGTGGGTTTTTTTTTTTCTTGGCAGGTGGTGTGGTGTGTGTTGTGGAAGGAAAAGTTGTGAATGTCAAATGGAAGTTAATCCACAGGAGGCATTACTTTTTGGAACACATTTGATTTTTCCAGAACAAAAATACTCTAAAGAACCAGCCAACTTTTGTCCTCAAGCTAAGATACAGATGAGGGGAAAACAGTAGAAAGATGGTAGAAATGCTTCGCTGGCAGAATAAGACGTTCCGCCTCTATCCAATAGGGAGGGGTATTATAGAGATTTTTATGATTCCATTTGCTTTGCCATATATTTTGGAAAATTTCAAATATATATAAATAGAATGAACCCACAGTCTGGTTTCAACTACCTGTTCATGGTGAATCTTGTTTTATCACTTCCTGTTACCCAGTGGATTGTTTGGAAGTTAACCCAGACACTTAATTTCATCCATAAACAATCCAGTATGCACCTTTAAAGGTTAAGAATGATCAAGAGGTCTCTGGCAGGAAACCCATGATTAGATCATTTAGGAAGGCTATACCCCAAAGGCAGTGTGAAGACTGGGTTGCTGGGGAAAGTACCCAATAATAGGATCTACATGGCATTTATGGACATTTCTTCCAAAAAAATGAGTCCCTCTTAATGTTAGGTATAAGAGTTGACAGATGATTCTGTCATTATTTTTCATATTGGGGGTTGAAACCAGGGATACTCTACCATTAAGCTATATCCCCAGTTTTTTTTTTTTTTTTTAAGATAAGGTCTTGCTAAATTACCCAGGCTGGACTTAAATTTATGATTCTCCTGTCTCAGCCTCCCAGATCACTGGGATTACAGTAGTGCCACCATGCCCATTATCCCATCTTTAAGGCCTTTATATTCTAGTGCAGGTTTCTCAACCTCAATAATATCAACCTATTTGGCT